GTCTCCAACCATTATTAGAGATAGACTAATAAATGTTTCACTCGTCGTAGTAAGACACTCTTTGTCTCTAATTATTATATACATAACACGCTTTTTCTATATAATTCTTAGGTGATTGTTCATTATGGCGTTTCATTATTGCAAGCGTGTTTTCTTGATATATGAATAAAGTGGTTAGTTGTTATATTGACAACTTATCAATTTAATGATACACGAATAAGATATTTAATTGTTATGTACATATATTGTGTGTTGTACTAACATATTCATAATTATGGGTTTAAATTTTGCAGCAATTGATTTCTGTAAAACTTATGTATTTAATTTATCTACATGTGTTTGTGTTTTAATTTGGGATTTTAAAAGACGTTCATTGACAATAACATAACTTTATACCTACGTTTAGCTGACAGGAAAACTTACTTTGTATAAAGTTTTTATTCTATATAGTATATCATTTTATACAGATCCGTTCAACCTCTTTTTTTAAATATATTCATAATAATAGAAATACGGTGAATATCTGAATACAAAAATCTAAAGCTTAAGCCCACCCCAATATCTTATAGAATAATACTGATAATAACAGAAATTAACTTCATATTTCAAGTATAAGACGCAAAAAAATTCAATAAATGATAAATTATCTGTAGATTAGTCTTCTACTGAAGTATCTTTGTTTCGCTGAGTAGGAGCTTTTATCTTTTTCTGTGGGTTTTCAGAGGACGATCTCTCTTTCCTATAATGGGAACATAAAAATAATAGAGATCTAAATAAAAGAACTGTGGCTAAAGTACTAGTTAGCTAGTCATGGTTCTTATGCTGCTGCAGAAACGCATGGAAGTTATTACTCATTGGTCATGATGAACACACGGATAACTTTAAAGTAAGATAAGTTAAACAGGGAAATAAAATAGTTTGTGACATAAGATTAGAACAAGTTAACTTGTGATTCCCGGGCGTAACTAAAGAAAAAAAAAAGAGAAAAGAAAAAGGAGGAGCAAGCTTACGCTAACCAACAATGTTAAATCTGCACAAGAAACGAACCAATTAAAAAAATATAATGGTAAACCTGGGTTTCTATTTAATAAAGGCTTGTTGAATTATATTGCAAAATTGCCTGTACGTTTATGATTAGCAACATTACTTATTTTACAATTTTAAATGAATTAATCCGTGAATTAATAATTCTCGTTTCGTTTTATTTTTTTCCTGTGGTTAAAAATTGTGAAAGGACAGACGACGTGTTTCAAGAAATGGTTATTAACTTTTTGTACCATTTATCATAAATACCTTTAGAAAGACATAAGTTAAAAATGATTGGTTTTCCTAGAGATAACTGGATATGGTACGTGAATGACTTCCTGATGTTTTAATAAATGTTAAAACCTTGGTCATTCCCCTTAAAATCTTGTCGCGGAAGAGTTCGCGGTGGGATTGCGTGGTTTAATAGTTGACGCCTAACAGTTGTTGTTCATGTAGTTCAGTAAAATAAATAGTATCTCAACCACTACTGTGCCTGTCGCTATCGACCCTGATACATGCCAGTATGCAGACTGTCTCCTTCCCTACGCCGCCGTTAATTATCGACGGACTACCGCTCGACTTCTCGCCGCGGGACACAGCCAACTTCATCCGCTGCTACAAGCCTCAAGCCAGAGTATTCTCTGAGCGCACCCGTCGTCTAAACAAGGGAGGTATACTCCTCCATCCCAAGACACTCGAAGACTTCCGCTGCCTTCGCCAACCTTGGTCTTCAAACCCTCCCGTCACTTGCCAACCCCCTAAAAGCAATCCCAGTCTCCACACAATATTTCTCAGAAACGTCCATTTA